TGGAACTGTGTGTTTGCGGCAATCGATCGCTCCGCGCCCGGCACGGCCAGGACGAGCCGAATGCCAACTGAAAAATGACATGAAAAATGTATACAACCTACTACACTAAAATTACTATCATCGTACCATGAGTGAAAGAAACTTTCAGTCTAGTTATTATAAACCTTATAGCTATCACGATAAAGCAGTTATAGAATAAAATGTTAGTGAGCCTTACACTAAGTTTTTAACAGTGCGATTTGAGCACGTAAATATTACACAAAAAGACTTAAAATTTAGTTTTTATTTTTTCATATCACAGCAACGAACAAGCAAATAGTACAACAGAATGACAATAAACGTTATTAAAAATGAATCAACTTTCCAATCTCGTCCTATTCTATGGTGGTTTCTTTGGCTGACCTCATCAACTATAACAGATACTTGCAAGGAATATTGTTTCCTTTTAAAAATATATGTCAAATATTTTCTCAACAGTTATAGATATCTCAAAATGGTCTTGAAATTGATCACGTTTTTTATTAACATGTTCCGAGGCTAATTTTATGAGCTTAAAACAGTTTCCATCGCTGTATTACCTCTGTGGATATATTTTTTGCTCGTATTCTTGATGTAGGAGCAAAACGTGATGTCGCCTTACGTAAATTCGCAAATATGGTTAGGTTTTCTTATTGATTGTAGATGAGTTTACTTTTTGATATGCTTAGTTTCTACCAGACTAAAGTTTTCTTCGGCGACAAACGTACATTGTTTCTGTTTTAACTTGATACTAAAACATTAATTTATACAAAAAACTATTATGAAACATTTAGCAAAATTACTTACGTCTCGAGGAAAATTCGGGTCATGTTTTTGTAACATATGGTAGGTTTAAGAGAGCTCCTACTCACGCCTGTTAATTCAACCATAGAAAGACACACAAAAGAGGCAAAGGAATCGATGATTTGCAAAAAAAGTGTTAAAGAACTATAATTCAGAAGTAACCGAATGGTGTTTATGTATAAACGTGTTCAATGGTAGTAATTGTTCAACATAAGAATTCAGTAAAAACAAGGTAAGGCATTTTTAAATAATTATGGTTCTTATATGAGAGATGACCGCGTTCTGATTGATATGCTTATCATTGAATATTGGACTTACATATTTTAAGTGAGAAGATATTAAGTTGTTAAGGCTGGCAATAATAGAAGTATTGTTCTCGGTTTGTCAATCCTATAAAACTAGAGGTAGATGTGTGTCAATTACAGTTAGTCATTCTTGATTAGGTACATTTGGATGGCTATACCGTTGTGCCCGACCTCATTGACTTACTAGCCTAGCCACTTTTCATTAAAACAGATTGCTTATTGACAGGCTACTGATATGGATCGGGCGTAATCGATATTGTGTTCAACTGTTTTTTTCCCACAAATATCCGGCTTGTAACTGATGGGGCTGTCCTTTGATTCCTAGTACTACCGACTTCTTTATTGTACTAACTTAACAATTTTTAATCAATCAATTTTTACAGCACTTGCTTTTATAATTATGTACCTACTTAGATTTTAGTTTATTAAATTACCTATTTTTTTTTTAATATTACATGATTAAAGGATATACAGTCAAACAAATTCATAGATTAGGACATATATTATATGAAACCCAGTGCCATGTCTTGAATTCCAATCCACGTGTGTATATTTTGATATTCACTGTTAGTTTCGAGGCGCCTGGCGGTTCAATGATACTTTAGCTGTTGTTACCAGGGCACATCTAGCGATGAATTATAAAGTAATGAACGCGTTGTGGATATAACAGTATTTGTAACTATGATATGAAATTGCTCTGTTTTCGGAATAGGAAGTATATTGTGCTTTAAAAAAAAATTCTAAACTAGCGAACTACTACTTGATATTATGTGTAAAACATCGAATGTAATATGTTCTAAAATACCCCAAACTAATTTTACTCAAATCTATAAAAGAAGAAACTGACAGACTGTTTCACTGACTGATCGACCGCTGGGCCGCTGGGCTAGAAGCATGAAGTTTTGCACAACTGTTCCTTAGGTGACGTAGGTGTGCACTAAGAAAGGATTTTTTTAAATTTCAACCCTAAGCGTGCAAATGCGGGTTGTAAATTTATATGAAACTTCGTTATTTTTGGTAGTAGCGTTTTCAAACTCACAGTAAATACTCTTTAGTTTGTATCTTCTTTTATACATATACCTATAATCTTGATTCATTGTATCATCTAAGATGTCTGATGTTAAACAAAACGTGGGCAAAGTCCCAGACAAAAGCTAGTCATATATTGTAATGTACATTATTCCGCAGAGCCTTAAAACTCCTGCATTGACGTTTTAGGTGAATTGTGGTAGCAAAACTCACGTTACGTTTTTAGTGTGAGCTGAGATCCAACCTGTTGTTAATTATAAAGACGTATCAATAAAGATAGAATATCACTCTTAGTTAAACTAGGTAACTAATCATCCTGCTATACCCAAAACATCTAAAACAGCCTTATATAGCTCCACCTCAACACTTCCGGACTAGACTGTTTACTTTTGACAACCAATAAGACATCTTTGGCTTCAAGAATCACGTTTTCCTACTAGTATCCAGTAAATATCTATTACAAAGCTATTACACTATGTGTATGTTTATTTTACCAATCCTGACTGCCCTTTTGATAAACAGCAAGAGAAAACTGCCTGGTTTAAAATAGTTCTCTTTAAAAAATATCTCTCAAACATTCTCTCAATAGTCTGCATAAAACTATTTGAAATTACAAATTATTTTAATTTTTAGATGTACCATTAAAGTTGTCAGTTCTCTGTCCGGTATAATATTGTAAGACTATTAAGCGGTAAGATCTGAAGTTGGTACACGTTGGTTAGAGAATTATTCAACGCTCTTTCTTAGAACAATTGGCTTTGAGTATACCTACATGTTACCGAAGGTTAAAACTGAGATGTATACACACTTAGCAAAAGTCAATATTATTTCTTCTTGGTAGCAAATACTGAAAGCACTCGTACGAGTGAAGTCAAAAAAAAAATTCCTTCTTGTTTGTAAATTAAAAAATGTCTTTAAATAGTCGCCAGTAAATTTTATTGTAGTCAAGTTGTAGTTAAAATTAGTAGACTTAATTATTGTTTGTCTATTATTATAGCAGCAACAACAAATACTAATAGCAAAAAAAAACAAATACTAATTTCTTGTCAAGAAACGTCACGTTGTCTAATGGAAACGGTTACGAAAGTACAATTATTTCGCTTCAGTAGAAACGCTCGCGATTTTCGAGACGCGCTTTCAGTTGCAGGCGAAAAGCCTCCCTCGTCAGTATAGAATTGTACATTGCTAATATGATGTATAGTGTTTTGACGTTATTCCCTGCGTTTTTGTACGTTAGAATTTGTTACGTATTCGGTTATGTGATATGAAGTTCTTTTGTTGGGTTAAGTGAAACCATAGTTTAAATGTTTGCTTTGCACTCAGCACGATTGCGTAGGTAAGATGCCGTTTAAAAATGTTCGGTAAAACTTGTACTTTCTTTATAAGTAAATAGGATTTTATACATACAGTTGAGACGTGTTTTACACATGTATTGAGCATTGTTTGTGAGGGTTGAGTTGTGTAACGTCGCTTTCTTATGTCTTCAACTTAAAAGTGGAGTTTTAAATAAAGACTAATTCAAATTAAGGTAACTAGTTTATGGTTAATGTTATGTGCCTGTTGTTTGTAATTTGAAAAAAGTATGTTAATGTTTTAAAATAAACAGTTGTTTATACAATTGTTATTGCATAAGAAATAAGTACTTGATAATATGATGATAATAGATTAAAACGGGCTCATAGTAAGTTGTACCATGAACATTTACTTTTTTCTAAAAATACAGAAATTGTTAACATTATAGACAGGAAACTTTGAATACGCATTGAAATATTATAATCTATTCTACACCTTACTCGTAACCGTAAATCGTACAGACACGAAGCTTGATATATAAAAAAGACGTGTGGCACTCGGGGACTGCCGCGGTAAAGCTATTGCATAGCATTTTGTATCAACTTATGCAATTATAATTATTTATTTATTTTATTTATGCAGTATTTCTTTTTCTTTGATATTAATTCAAGTTACACTTTTTGAGCGTGGTGACCGATAAGAAAACATTTTTTTTTCTTTTATTAAATAAAAATATTGAAGCATATATTACAATTTGTTTTTAAATAAATAAATAAAAAATATTATTATTAAATCCAATTACATATCCATGTAAGATTTTTCTGCATTATGTTGACGAAATTTCCTTTGACGTTCAGCATTTGATATTGGTACTGTTTTTTGTTTTGTTTTCAGCGTGAGGTTTTTTTTCGTCACGGAATTTCTGGATTCGGTCCCCGCGCTCAAGGCCCTCGATAGAAGCTATGCAATAGCTTAATAATTTATTATTATGATAGTTTAAAAGCTCACTGTGATTGCACTGTTGCTGTCAGGATAGAATACAGTCTACTAACGATCACACAATACGTACTACATGCACTGAAATATTAAAATTTGTCCTAAATTCATCATACCCTAGTTATTGCGACCAGGATTGACTCCAGACGAAGGAACGTCCATAGCAGATAAAATCGCAGAAAAGACATTTTGTATTCGATATTACAATGAATGATGACAGTGGTTTAAGTCGCCTTGCTGATACGCTTTGTTATTGGCTGTATGCCCGCACGATACCAATATTTGTGTGAGCCACAAACAGTTGCTCTGACGCTTATATTTCTATCTGTCCATTAATTGAATGTTTGTAAAGTGTGTCGAGGGGACACATGAATTTTAAGTAGGTACTCTAAGGTAAGCCCAAAATCGATCTAAGTGGCGTGCAATAGAAGAGGCCTATGTCCAGCAGTGGACTGCGATAGGCTGATGATGATTATGACTCTAAGGTATTATAAATCAGGATCATAATGTTTTTAAAACTGACTTGGATCAGTGCAAGTCGATTGACTCCACGCCATGACTGATGTAATTTGGTGAGATGAGCGTCAGTAGAATTGGTTTTAACATTTAAAAAAAAACAAAATCGGACACGGAACTGTATTTCATTCGGCACAAGTACCTAAGTTTCAAGCTAAAATGAGTTTGATATCGTTTTTTGTACCTTGTCCATACAGAAAACGATTTGAAACCTTTATAATCTAACAAAATGGTGATTCGGCTAATTCTAAAAATTCTATGATTTCAATTAAAAATAAATCCCAATAATTATATGCTCCACAGGAGGCTGAGTGCTCCGTCGTCAGGTTCATTGCGTCGCCGTGCGCGAGAACGCAAGCGCGCGGAACAGACGCGGGCTGACGGAGAGCGCATAGCTCGGGAGAAGCGTGAGCTGCTAGCTAGGGAGAAATTTGAACAACAACGGAAGGTAACTGTTTTTTAATTCTGGGTGAAGTTAGGTAAAAGTTAGATGAAACCCTGCGTCCCCGAGGAGCCGTAGATTCTAAGACATTTTGCACCCCACCAACAAAAAAGTATACTTTTTACAGAATACTACATATAAAATAAGGTTCATTTGTAGTATTTGGTAGTAATATAGCACATATTAATAAAATATCATAATCATTACTTTTATTCTACTTATTTATCAAGTACCTAGATACTTTATTTGCGACAATAATAGCTTGCAAGCCAGTTTACAGTGTATTATGGGCAAATTTCTGCTTTATTGGTGTTTAACGTGTCACAAATCAATCAGTCGTCTAGCCTTAATGGTTTTTGTTTTAAATATGCAATTGTTGTCTTTTATTTCTTTCTTATCTTATGAAATTGTATCCTATTTCGTTTTCAGTTTCTGTACTTTTATAACTTCATTATAGTTTGCTCACTTTGAATCTTAATAAAATTTGTAATAGGGCACAAAAAAGATGGCAGCCTTTTTAGTTTATGCTGTTAAACGATCTCGTAGTTTAAAAGAGTGGACGTGAGTTTGTTTGTCAAAAGACTTAACTATTAGCTATATTGACTGCACGAATGGCCTAGTGGTTTAAGCGGTCGCCACGCCGCTTACTACTACGCTGAGTGTTGTGATTCCGATCCCCACATGGGACGACACTTTGTGTAAAAAATATAATTGTATTATTATAAGATTGCCAGGTAATTTGTTGCCAGAATGTTATGTTTTTAACGTAAATATACAATATTTCATGCGTACCTTCTACATGCAAGTACCTGTCTATGCGTGTCTTTATTCCATTCGTAATAAAAAGGTTTTCGCTATTACCATAAATTTTATTTCTATTACTAAAGATGTCATCATTCATGCTTTACATTTCCGTATAAAATGTAGAAACGATTTTAATAATTATTAACATTTCAATATTCTTTAATAATTCGTTGTGTTATTTATGTTATATTTAGATATATTCATAAATCCCATGATTGCTAATATGTATCGGTAAAGTTAATATGCATATTATTATGCAGACTGCAGATCTTAAAGCAATATTGTGAAATATGTATAACAATTTATTCTGTACAAATGTCATGTGAGAGAATGAGAGGCCAATCTGGTGTTATTTTATATTACTCCAAAATGTTGGTTAATAGTAAGAATTCTTGATCGATGTCAAAGTTTATTTTTATTTTAATGTAATTAAAATTTTATGATTTTAAATTTACTTTACTTGTCCATCCATCTCAGGTATTTAAAAGTTGAATTGTTAATAATAATAATCATAGTCCTTAATTTTTTATCTTTTTTGTCTTTTAGCAACATTTATAATTTAGTGATTTCCCTTGTCACACTTGCTTATATAATAAAATAATACTGTTTAGCTGGCTAAAAGAATATCATAACATGCCTCCTACAGATTTTACTCATACTGATGAAATACAAGGCGCGGTGCGACTCACCTCATGGTAAGAATTAATGATGGTGTTTAAACATTATTTTAACGATTAAGCAACAATAAGCCTGCGGCTATGGTGCTTTATTGAAAGGTTATGGTAGACGCCAAAATGCCGCATACGTAAATTTTTCGCAACTTTTAAAAATAAGTCTAAATGGCCGGCCGTCTGCCTGATAATCGGCCCGCCATATTATCGGTTTCAGAAGGATAAAGGTAAGTTGACGGCTATTACTTTAGTAGCTCGAAGAAGCTACGGTTGAGTTCTCGAATGTTCATCATGTGATTTGAAAGGCTCCTCAGAGAGGGCTCCATGATATCCATCTATTGTTCTAATTAAATTTAAAAAAAATATGAACACATAAATTTATCGTAATGATGTCTCCCCCAGCACGAATCACGACAAACGAATAAACTATGTTAAATTATTTTTATTGTATTGACAAACAATTCCTTCAACAACCGTGCCAAAAATTAAAACAGTAAGGCATTATTTAAATAATATTTACCACTTTCTACCGGATTGTTATGAATACCTTTTTTTTTTTTTTTTTTTTTTTTTTTCCGTGCGGTAATCCCCTCGGATACCACCTGTCGGTGGCATGTCGGACCCGAACCGACTAAAACCGCACGCCTTCGCCGGGTACTAATAGCCGGGGAACCAGGTATACCCTAGAAAGGAAGGCCCTGGTGCCCCGACATACCTCGGGTCATCTACAGACGAGTAGACGACCCCCGCCCCGTGTGGGAACCCCATGTTCCCTGTGCTCCCTGGAAGCGAGCGCGCTTCGCAACGCGCTCGCCGCCACCCCGGCCTGCTTCTGCTAGGGTGACAGATGGCCTCACCTGTCACCCCCAGGCCTGCGCTTATGGAGGACGGAGGTCGTTCTGCGACCTCCGGCGCCTGAGTGACCTGCGCTGCCTGGCAAGTGCCCGGGCCTGGCGGGCCGGGAGAGTTCTAAACCTCTCCCGGTCCCGCTCCGCCGTCTCCTTCGCGAGCATAACTTGCTCGCAGAAGGAGACGGCAGAGTTCCACGCACTCTCGCTCCGCACGATAGCCGCAATCAGGCTATCGAGCGAGAGAACTCCCACTCCGATGGCCGCCACGAGGTCTCGCCTCTGCTCAACCCACGCCGGGCACTCTGCCAGCGTGTGGAGAGCCGTGTCCACGGTCTGGCCATCGCAGTGGTGGCACTCAGGCGTTGGCTCCTTGCGGATCAGACACAGGTGATCTCCGAAACATCCCTTCCCAGTGATCACCTGCGTCAATCGGTATGAGAGGGTCCCGTGACGCCTCTCGAGCCAATCCTCCATAACGGGTCTTACCGCCGCAATGACGGCGTGCCCAGCGCTCGGTTGCCCGAGTCGTTCCCTCCACTCCCCTATGATGACCTGGCGGAGTTGGGATTTCCGGTCATCGATTTCTCGAATCTCGGGGCATCGACCCAACTCCTGCGCCTCCTTGCGCCACTGATACAGTGCCGCAAGGGCTCTCGCCTCCAGGTCCCACGGTGGAGTTCCGGCCAGGAGACTCGCTGCCTCAAAGGAGATCGTGCGGTACCCCCTTATGATCCTGATGGCCAGCATTCGCTGCGGTCGTCGCAGTATCGCGACGTTGCTGGCCTTCAGGGCCCCCGCCCATACCGGGCACCCGTAAAGGGCCATGGACCGCACAACCCCCGAGTAGAGTCTCCTGCAGGAGTCATCGGGTCCCTTCATGTTGGGCAGCAGCCGCGCCAACGCACGCGCTGCCCCAACCAACTTAGGGACCAGACCTCGGAAATGATATCCGAAGTCCCATCGGCCATCGAGTACGAGCCCCAGATACCTGATCGAGGGCTCGATGCCGATGCGAGTGCCTCCTACCGTGAGGCTAGATCCCTCAGGCGGCTTCCTCCGAAGCCCGTGGAAGAACAGGGCCTCGGACTTGTGCAGAGCCACCTCGAGACCCAGCCGCCGGATACGCTCAACGACTTGGGCAACCCCGGCCGTGGCCCTCAGGGTTGCCTCGTGGTGCGTCTTGCCGCGCGCCGTCACGAGTGTGTCGTCCGCGTAGCACACGACGCCGACACCATCCAAGAAGGCACCACGAAGCACCCAGTCGTAGCCGATGTTCCACAAGAGTGGCCCTAACACCGACCCCTGCGGAACACCGCACGACATTTCACGCCTACCGAGACCGGTCCTACTGGGGTAGACGACGGCTCTCTCCGACAAATATGCCCCGACTATGCGGCGGAGGTAGAGAGGCACTTCGTGATACACGAGCGCCTCCCTGATGCAGCTCCAGGGCATAGTGTTGAACGCGTTGGCGATGTCCAAGGACACCGCCAACACCACTTCACCCCGGGAGACTGCTTCCTCCGCCAGAGCCTTCACGCGCATGATCGCATCCACGGTGGAGCGCCCCTGACGGAAACCGTACTGGTTGTCCGCCAGATCCGGCCCAACCATCACGAGATGCTTGACGAGGCGCCTTGCAATCACTCTTTCAAAGAGCTTGCACACCTCGTCAAGCAACACTATGGGCCGGTAGGCGGACGGGGAGTCCGCCGGGCGCCCCTCCTTTCGGATGAGGACCAGTTTCCCCGTCCTCCACAATTTTGGAAACTGGCCCCGCTCGAGGCATGCGCTGAAGAACCCTCGCAGTCGGGGCTCGAGAGCCTCGTCGACTAAGGCCAGGACCCACGCTCGGCCAGGAATGCCATCGGGTCCCGGGGCGGTGTTTTTGGCTTTAAGCCGTAACACCGCCGCCCTTAGTTCCACCCCAGTGACCTCAGGCACGTCGTCGTCATCCACGTTAGGCGCCTCAAGCGCCGGAGGCGGAGCCATCTGTGGCGGAGTATGCTCCACCACTCGCGTTGGGAACAGGGAGCCAACGACCCTCTCAAGCAGCTCTGGCTGAAGACACCGTGTGAGCGGCGGGGCCCATGGGCGCATCTTGCCCCTAACCATACGGTAGGGGCGTCCCCACGGATCCCGCTCCAGTGTCTCCAGCATCTCGCGGCGGGCCTCGCTCTTGGCCCGCTTTATCGCTGCCTGAAGGGTCCTCTTGGCAACCCTGTAACCCGCTGACAGCTCCGCCTCTCTCGCTGCCGCATCTTCGGGGCGGCGACGCCTCCTGCGGAACCTGGACCACCGGCGGCGCGCGGTCACGCAGGCTTGACGCAGCCGTGCGATCTCCGGCGACCACCAGTAGACCTGGCGCCTTGCAGTATTGGGCTGAGCCCTAGGCATCGCCGCATCGCAGACGCGGGTCATGGCCTCCCGGAACCACTGTGCTTCAGCATCAACGTCGACAGGCCTGTCCGGCGCAGGAGCCCAGGCCTGTACGATGGCGGCTTCCAGGAGGAGGTCGCGATCTAAGCGCTTGAGCGCCCAACGTGGTTCAGGTGGTGCCGGTCTGACCGGCGCGCCATCTGCAGGGGCGGAGACGTCAAACCGAATATATCGGTGATCCGAACCTGTCTCCTCCCCGACAACGACGCGCCAGCCTTGGACACGACGCGCTAGCGAGGGGCATGCGAACGAGATGTCCACGATCGAACTACCCCTCGCCGTCACGAACGTGGCCACGGCCCCCCGGTTTAGGAGAACTAGGCCGAATCTTTCAGCCCAGTTCTCCAATGCCCTGCCCCTCGGGTTCGTGCGCAGGGAACCCCAAGCCTGCGACCAGGCGTTGAAGTCCCCCAGCACAAGAACCGGGTGGGGGCGACAGGCATCGACGACGACGGCCAGCTGAGCGAGCCATTGCTCGTACTCAGTTAGGTTTCGGTTCGGCGTGAAATAAGCGGCCACGACCGCTATATCTCCAACTATCGCCGCTACACAGCCCCGTCCCCTTGCAACTACTGCAAGAGGTGGAGTGCCGGCTGCGGTACCGTGCACCAGGGCCGCCGTGCCGTCCAAGTCGGTCTCCCAGGCAGGCCCGAGAAACCGATGGACATATGGCTCGGCGATAGCGGCGATGTTGATGGACCACTGTGCCATGCTCTGGAGCAGAAGATCCTGAGCATCGGCACCGTGGCCTACGTTCACCTGGAGGATGCGGAGATGTGGATCCATCACTGGACTTCCATCCCCGCATCCCGCAGCGAGCTTTGCGGCTGTCCAGCGGCACTCTCCGTCTGGATCAGCGGCTCGGAGGCGGAAGGTCGGCCTCCCGGCTTCGGTCGCGATAGGGCACAGGCCTTACCACCAACCCGGTGGTCGGCAGGCTTGCCCCCCGCTGCGCACCTAAAGCAACGCAGCGGAGCGTTGCAGCCACCCGCCTTGTGACCGGGCTGGCCACAGCGGAAGCATCGGTCACCTACGGTGGCCTCCGCCGTGCAGTGCACCCCTACGTGACCCACCGACAGGCACCTGAAGCACCTTGCCGGTCGGGCCTGCAGGAGTCGTGCCTGCGCCCTCAGGAAACCTCCGACCAGGAGGCTCCGTCCATCGGCGACCTTCTGGGCCGCCGCAATGGGGCAGCTGACAACCGCTGCCCCCTGTCCACCGGGGCCGAAGCGTATTGCTCCGGCCTTCACGCTGTCCAGAGGGCAGCTTCCCGTCTCCGCCACGGCGAGTCTGAGCTCGTCCGCCGTGACAGAGTCGTCCAGGCCCGTAATGCGCACTTCTGCGCATTTAGTGGGTCTGGACACTCGGACGTCAGCTGCATCCAGTGCCTCCCTCAGCTTAGCCGCTAGGGCGTCGGCTTTGGGGCCACTGGTAGCGCCGGCGACCTCGAGGAGCCGGGCTCCCGTCCGTGTGTTTTTACACCGGACGCCCGGAATCTCGAGGGCTTTGAGGTCCACGTTGGCCTTGACTTTCGTCAAGACCTCGGCGTACCCCACGCCCCTCTCCGCTGCCTCCGCCGTCAAAGTGATAACGACGGCCGAGGAGCGAGGGGCGCGGAGCTTCCTCGGCGCTCCCTTCGCGGCGGCGGCGGCGTCCCTCCTCGCCTTCTTGGCCGCTTTTTTGGCGGCCTTCCGCCTCTTTTTGTTGTCCCCGGCCACCGTCCAGCCCCGCTCCAACGAGCGCTGTGCGGTGTCAGCCGGGGCCGAGACTGGGGCTTGGGTTGGGGCCGCCTTCCCCCTCCCTTTGCCCTTTCCGGTCTTCTGGGGCGGGGGCGCTGATGACGGCCCAGCCACCCTAGCTGCTGGCTGGGCTGTTAGGCCCGCCCTGGCAGCGGCCGCATAGGTTCCCCTTGGCGGAGCCAGAGGTGGGCGACAACGGGCGCTCTCTATTGCAGAGATGCGCCTCATAATTCGCTCCTCCATCTCCGCCACGAGTCGGACTAAGTCCGGCTCCTTAGGGGCGGACAACGCCACAGGTGCCGAAGACGCTGGTGTGGCACCAGCGTGGGCACGAGCCTTGGCGAGATCCGCCTCGAGGCGGGCTCTCTCCCTAGCGTGGGCCTTGCTCTCGGCCACGAGGAGTCGTCCCGCCTCGATGATGGAGCGCACGACCGCTACCAGGGCCTCCTGTTCGGGACCCCTGGCTACCCCGGACGTCTGGAGCAGGCAATCGGCCACGCCGATTGCCTCCTCGATCTGGTCCACGGGGTTGCCGGTTTTGCTCTGCTTCCGCTCACCCTCCCTCTCGCTCCTCACCTCGGTCACGTCTGTCGACCTCTCGGACGCGACCCTCTTCACGGGAGTGTAGGAGCGTAGGGGCTCCGTCTTCTGCTCCTGGGCAACTCTAGGAAGTCGGCCTCCGCCGCGAGCGCCTCTGCGGCTTGTGCCGACTTTGGGAGCCGAGGCTTCATCGCTCGAGGCCGACTCCAATTGCCTCTTCAGGCCCAGGCGAAGCGAGCGCCTTTTGCGCTTTGGAGTACCCTTCTGGTGCTGCTCCGCAGCTGAGACCATAGGGGTACTCGCTCCGCTCATCTCCGAGGCAGTGTCGGTGTTCGACACTATCTCCATGTTTCTTGCGTCCTCCGCGTAATTTCGGTTGCCGGATTTACTGCTCGGCAACGGGCAGGTTAGACAAAGGTTGCTCCCCCCAGAGTACGTTTGGGAGCTGCCGGAGCCGTCTGGCTCCGGGAGGGATTCTCCAGACGCAGTGCGTCTGGTACCCTCCTGGGTAGATTTATCAATCTTTGGGCCCATGTCATAATGTTAAGTTTAACGTCCTTCGACGGGGACGCCTTCGGCACTGGACTCCCTCCAGTGACTCAGCCCCTTGCCAGGCGTCAGAACGTGGGCTTAGAGCATTTTTTATAGAGGTTTACGTCCTCGCGGATCCGAAGATCCACCGGTCCTGTCCATTCAGGATTACGGCTGGGCCGGACGGGGTCTGCACCAGACCGGGTCCGTCCGCCCCAGGGTTTTTTATAGAGGTTGCCTTCCTCGTAGCCCTCGAAGAGCCGTCATTCCTGACCGTTGCCAGTCAGGGTTACGACATGGCCGGACGGTGGTCTGCGTCAGACCAGTGTCCCCCACCTCTGGACAGAGCCAGCTGCAGTGGACCCGTCCGCCCCCAGCCCGCTCTCCCCTATGCCCTCTGCCAAACAGAGGGTCACGCGGAAAGCAGCCCTCCGAACAGCCCTTGACGGGCCGTTCCCACCTCGGCCGGAATTGGCCGCAGGCGGCAGCGCCTCCCCCACCTAGGGAGAGAGGCGCTGCCGTCTCCGTTGCCCAGGGTGCACCACAAGGAGGTTCCGGACCACGCACCCCTGTTATGAATACCTATGAATTCATTGATCGGAAACTACAAAGACAAAAATGAGATTCTTTTTCTTCTTTTATCATTTCATTCATTTATTTTTTATTTTCATTTCATAAATTTTTTGTGTTTTTAAACAGGTTCGTGAAGAACTGGCTAAATACCAGCCGTGGGGCCGCGCGGGCGGTGGCGCGCCCAATCCTCGAGGCATACGGTTTACGAAGATCCGTGATAAAGGAATTTTTCCTGAAGACGAACTAAGGGTAAATATAGTTTTTATAAGCCTTTTTATCTACTGAAGAATTAATTTGGACTGAATTAACGATAAGCAGTGGCCTAAACACACTGTTCCCTCTTTGTAAGCACAGATGAAATATATTGAAAGTCACGATATAAAGGATCAACAAGTAAAACAATGTCTCTTATTATTTTAGCAGAATATTGATAAATGTATCAACAATTACGTCTTTTTTATACTGTTAATGCAGTTATGTTCAACAATCATCTTATTAGTTACTAACGTAACGTAAAAGAAACGTAACTCAAATTGCTCTTAAATGCAGCAGTAGGATTGTAGATTTCTATAACGTTACTTTGAAAATTAGGAGCGCTAGTTACGTCCAAATCAATATATATATATATATCTTTATATTATGATTAATGGAAGAGATTAAAACACCGTTCGTATGATAACTTTTACTAGACATTTGTTTACTTCATTACTTTGTATCGAGAAAGCCCGAGACGAGAATTGCCTATAGCGGTAAAATTTCAACATCAACTATTGTAGTTGCACGCATCAATGATTAAAATAACCATGTAATCAAAATCTATTAACGATTATAAGATCTGTATTCGAAGATTGCATAATTTGTGTGTCACTCAATTAAAAACCTCATCTGTTGCGTGTTTGTAAGCTATTAATTAATACAATAAATATGTCTTTGATAAAATTAATAAGATAATAATATAGAATATTTAAATCATATTACATAGAATTATATAATCATATAGAAGAAGGAATTGTTTTATACGGCGGCGGCGTGACCAGTAGTTTACATGCGATAGTATTTTTGGTTTAGTTTAAATTATAACTTCATATAATATTAATTAAATGTTAGTAATTCAAGCTTCAAATAACTGGACATAACACTACTGCGACGTCATTCGTGTTACTTGACGCCGATCGGTATTAAAATTAATATGTTTCGTTTCACGTTAAAAATTAAATTTTTCATTAATTACGTATTGAAACGTAATTAATGAAAAATTTAACAGAATTAACTGAAATGAATATTTTAGTTGTGGAGACTATTGGTTTTTATGTTTCATAACATTATAATAACACAATTTTCATCTTTTTTATCGTAACTTCAATCGAAAATCAGAACTTTTTTAAAATAGAATAAATCTAAGTCACAAGAACTTTGCATACATAGGTACTTTAGCGGAAAGCCGAGCGTGTGCGTAACGAAGTTGACTCCAACTTTGGTCACTCACAAAAAACCATTAAGAGCGGGTTTAGAATTAAAATACCAAGACACTTAAGAGAAGTGTTAAGTGTTCGAAAGAGGATTCATATTCATTATTGGGTAATTGACTTCCTATTTTATTATTATGGGAAATAAAAATGAGAGTAAGTTATTTCAATTTATACTAAGCTTTTGCCCACTCAAATTACAAGGAATGGTAGTCGTGAACATTAGAATTAATATAGTGCTGTGGAGCACCATGTGTCCTTCTTGTTCTCTGTTAATAAAATCTGTTAATAAAACCTGCCAGCATTGACAAATTGAATGAAAATGTTATTTCCAGTGCAAGGAGAAATCAATCTTCTGTTTACCCAAACTATTTTGGGCAAGAGACCCCTTTTTCAAAATGGGTTGAACCCTCAGACCCCCATGGCCAAATTACTTTAAAAATTTAAATCTAGTTTTCTTCCTATTGATACAAAATACATGCCAATTTAAAAACTTTATGGTTGGTTATGTGAGTAAACTTGACATCATTTTCTCATCAAAATTTAACAAAATAAAATACATAAAATTCAGTACACCGACATATAAATACTTAAGTACGTAATTAATTACGACACACATATAAAAATCCAATTTTAAAGAAAAAACAATAAAAATTCAGTGTGATGGGTGAACCTGGTGACTCTCTACCAATCTAGCTTAGTTTCAAGTAAGAAATAAAGTTAATTAAAATGGGTCGATTTTTAAGCCTCGTCAACCCCAATAACCCTGGGAAACCGATTACGACCCCAAGGGGTTGTTATCGACCACTTTGGGAACCTCTGGTTTACACCATTAGAGCTTAAGCCGATCTTATTTTACATAATATATATCACTTACATTTTAAGGTAATATCGTGCTTTGAAATCTCAGTAAGTACGCTTAATCTCGTGTGACTTTTTAATTAATTGTTATTTACAAGTAGTTGCGTACTGCGATTGACAGATGGTTATTCATCTATATAAGGTAAAGGGTCATTCGTTATCTGAATGTCATTAAGGCGGGACCACACCGTTGCGTTACGAAACGACGATGAATAAAAAATGTGTGAATGGACTACCTTTTGCTGTGTTGAGGATATGAAATTTGTTGACATACTTTTAAAGTATTTTGTATTTTCGTCATCGGTAATTTCCTCTTTTAAAAGTTGTCCATATTCCTTTAATGTAATTGCCATAATTATACGACACCGTTTTTTTACGAAATTCCAAGTTGACGCCATGAATATTATGGTATCAAGAATGAAAACTTTTTAGTAGTTTCCATAAATTTTCTATGAGAAATTTGCTTTGATTACCTTTGTTCTCGGCGATTAGTTGTTAACTAATTGACATGTAATCAATCCAGTAATAGGCAATTTTCATTAATATTCAACTTTTACACAATACTACCTAGAATTATGTAAATATACACATTTAACTCCGCAAAGGATTAGCAGATAGTAATTATGTATGTGACATTTAACATTCCTACCTTTCCACGTCTTTTATTGTAGGAATCTGCACAATTAGAAAAATAGTCCTGATTGCAAGAGGATTATTAAAGTTTCTATAATTCGTTTTCTGTTGTTTTATTGGGTTTATAGATCAATTTGTCAGAAATTGTTTATGTTATTGAGGGAATTCAAGTTTATGGATCAATTAAAAAACAAAAGCTCCTCTCTCGGAAAATTGAAATTGTGTCTAAATAATTATAATATTCTTCATATTACACTTTTTTGGATGATAACTTCTCAAAATCATTACTGCAATCAACACTATCCTTGAACACTGTTGCTTACGTGAGTAAACCACTACCAAATAAGAGATTGAAACCAGTGTACCAGTGTACTTTTTGAATTGTTACATTTAAGTAGTTTTTATTGACTACAACATATTATAAAAAAAATATATCACCGAATTATAAGATAGGGAGCTCTTAAGCGTCTTTGGTTATTTTCTATTTAGAAAAAAAATGTTGCAGTTTTTTAATTCCTTCGCTTTCTTGACCATTGAGATGTCTTCTTCTGGATTAATATACAATGAAAATAGGGCAGTTGCAAAATCTGTGTATCTGTTTCATATTCTATTTTAGGATATAACAAATTGATAATGATTTAAAATGGGTTTTGGTTTAAGGAATTTATTTTCAAAAAGATAAAAAAAGCACGAACGACAGCAGAGAAAATAAAATAACATATTGGTTTATAATTATTCTAATGGTCACCGAAACAGTAGTAGGTATTTAATGTCAAAAATGTATGTTATAGTTACACGTTTAGCGATTTTATTCTCAGCCAATATCATAATAGGTTAAACTAATTATTGGGAGTAATTTTCTAATATATGATTTGACAGATGAGAATTAAAAACGCTAAAAGAGCTTACATTTTTAATTTCAGACGCCAAATTGTTATAAATTTGTGCTCATTCGTAGGTAATGTTTTTAAGCTATTGCATAGCTTCTATCGAGGGCCTTGAGCGCGGGGACCGAATCCAGAAATTCCGTAACGAAAAAAAACCTCACGCTAAAAACAAAACAAAAAACAGTACCAAAATCAAATGCTGAACGTCAAAGGAAATTTCGTCAACATAATGCAGAAAAATCTTACATGGATATGTAATTTGATTTAATAATAATATTTTTTATTTATTTATTTAAAAACAAATTGTAATATATGCTTCAATATTTTTATTTAATAAAAAAAATTGTTTTCTTATCGGTCACCACGCTCAAAAAGTGTAACTTGAATTAATATCAAAGAAAAAGAAATACTGCATAAATAAAATAAATAAATAATTATAATTGCATAATTTGATACAAAATGCTATGCAATAGCTTTACCGCGGCAGTCCCCGAGTGCCACACGTCTTTTTTTTTCTTTGCGTAGTTTGTACATGTTTTTGGTAATTGAAGTAAATTTGAACGCCGAAGACTGCGCTTACTGACAAGAGATTTTTTTATCAATGTAATAACATTAGATTGGATAGTTTTATCTATATTATTTCTAATTAAAGTACAATAGTAGAAATACAATAAAATACTGAAAGCAACTGAAAAGGTTTTCTATTAGTCGCTCGAATACTCTTAATCCTAATTATCCTTAATGTGTGCGAGGGAACTTTAAGTTAAATTTTAGAACAAAAGCTTTTAATATCTAACAATAGGACAAAAGTGGGAATCGAAGCGCCTAGGCAACTGGCACAAGCAATTTAATTTAATACTTAAAAAAGTAAGTCTTTTTTTCAAGGAAGTGTGACCTGAAATATAAAAATATCTTTTGAATCGGACTAAACGATGTCGCCCTTGTAACTTGTAACGCGGAGTCATCTCTAATATGCACTGAATCTAGTATTTCACAAACAGTATACACAACTTATTTAAAATGTTATAAAAATAAATAAAATTATAAATAAATATAAATCTATACTAATATTATAAAGCTGAAGAGTTTGTTTGTTTGTTTGTTTGAACGCGCTAATCTCAGGAACTACTGGTCCGATTTGAAAAATTCTTTCAGTGTTAGATAGCCCATTTATCGAGGAAGGCTATAGGCTATATATCATCACGCTAAGACCAATAGGAGTGGAGCACCAATGAAGAATGTTTCAAAAACGGAGAAAATTTATTACTATTGAGAGACGCAGACGAAGTTGCGCCGCGCCGGTCAGCTAGTTTAAAATAAAATTTAAGTGGCGCTAAAACAATAAAGAGCATAACAATGATAGTCGCATTAGCCGATTAGCATTAAAGCTTGCGTAATCCTTCCTGGAATTTCGGTCGATTTTACGGGATTTCAAAGTGGAAATCTCAGAATAAAAAAACAAAACACTCTGTTCCCTATTTATCCCGTGGGCGTCGTAAGAGCCGAGAAGGGAGCAGACTACCCAGGACAACAGCGCTGCAAAGAGAGGAAAAAACAAATCCTATACCAACCCGTCTGGCCAGCGTGGTATAGTAGGCCAAAACCTCCTTTCAAAGTGAAGCAGTGGACTATTAAAGGCTGTTGATGATAATGATGATGAGGAGTTTACTTATTTACCTTGTATTTAGCCGACGTAATATTTTTAAATCTATTACACAGGGTGTATCTATACACCAAGCTTGTAAGCGGTGGTCATCTACGCCACGTCGTCACCGCCAGACACCAGTGAAGTTACGAGAAGACCCACAGATATGTTATGCTGATCCATTAAAACAGAGCGTGGACAACGATATAAGATATCGACAAACGCCCGACGAACAAAAACATTACAAGCAAATATTAGGTATGGGAACACATAAATTAAATTTAGCGATATATATACATATACATCAAATGTACAAACAAATCTATCAGAAAAACTAGCAGTGAACCACGATGGTTCGTTGGTTGTCCCGGCTGGAGGCTCCACGTGCTGGCTTTGCTGCCGTGGGGGCTTTTCAGCCGATCATTATCGATTGGGCAGGGCGGCACGGGACCCTTTTCTTCCCACTGACGCAGGTCCTATCCGGGCACGGCTGTTAAGGAAGTTACTGCACATGGTCGCCAGGAGGGAATTGGACTGCACTAATGACGTAGTTGTTTAAACAGTCGCCTGTCCGTTTCCTGCTGCGCTGAGTTTGGTGGGTGTGATTATCGTGAATGTAAAATGGTGAATATGATTTTTACTTTGATTTGATTTTAATTTTTTTATTGTAATTTTAATTTTAATTTTGTTTTAATGTTGATTTTAATTTTAATTTTGGTTTTAATTTTGAATAATTTTGGTTTAAATTATGCTGTTCTTGTTGTTGCAATTTGTTGTTAAGAGTGAGAACCTGTAATTGGCTTAATGTTGCTTATTTTTATGTCATACACTACCTGTATCGCTGTTGGTCTTCCAATAAATAAATAAATGTTTTACTGCGGTAGCATATTCTGCGAAGATGATGATAGATAAAGAGGGCCAAGGAAGACGACGTCCACTTGTACCCAATTCGACCTGCGAACCGCGCGGCGGTGGCGCGCTTATCGTGAGTGTGGTCACGGGTGGATGCCGGAACGGTCGACGCAAGGCGGCGCGACGTCCGCGTCCGCGAATCGCCTAAAATTTAGGCCCTAAATAAAGAATGTACCCAAAGGTGATGCCCGCGCTTTTGCGGGCAGGCGATAAGTTGTCTGAATATCTTAATAACAGCTGTTCCCAGATCGCTCCTGTTTCAGGCGCAGAGTGGCACACTGTTTGGATTTAGTTAGTACAATTCCGACACACCACCCGGACTAATGCAAAATACTCTTAACATACATTGCTTCGATAAATTGATGCGAGGACTAAACATTTGTTATCTAACTGTACAAGCTAATCCAGTGCCAGTAAAAGTGATAGTAGGGTGATAGCCTACTGGGTGGGGTTTAAGCCTTCGCCCACGTGATGGCAAATCTTTTGAAGTAGAAATAAATGTTAGCTTAACTTTGCATTTCACAGGTAACCCGTTGAGTTATTACTATCACTTTATTAGGGAAGAGAATCATTATCGAAGAATTTTTAAGACAACCACATAAAACAGTGTGATATTTCACAGCGTTTTATGGAGACAGGTTTCATTCACGACATATGTTATGCAATCGTTGTCCACCTCTATCGACTAACTTATCTTAACTTTTAAAGGTGTGAGCTTTGGGAATAATGGGCAAGGTAAAAATTATTTGAACCTTCTTTAAATATTTTATTTACATAGTTATGATGGCTCTCTTTTTTTTTGTGGGAAAATTGATAATGAGCTATGAAATCACTGATGAGTTACACTTTAAAAAAGTTACTAACTGGTTAAAATAGTATTCTAGTCTATTTTTATCTAAAAATATATTTTCATTTTAGACGAAATGGTAATAAAAAAGAAAAAAGCAGCAAGAGAGGAGATGAAGCAAAATTTAGAGTATGAGCGGAAAATGGTAAAGTTAAATACTCGTCTAATCATTTAAAAGCATGAAATTTAATCACTACCATGACTTTTGATATTTTTAGCACGCTATGGACGGACCTTGGGGTAAACCTGGACCTGGTGGTACTATATGGAGGAACCCTCGAGATATTGGGCTAAATTTCTCTAAGTCTATGGTTAGAAAATAACGTAATCTATTTTTCCTTTCTAAATTACATTTTTATATTTATAGATTTTTAATACCATTTAAATAATTTAAATTTTTAATAGATTAATAATTGTAATGTTTATAAATGTTTGTGCAGGGTTGGACAGACAATGAAATTTTTACAAAATTAAAAGGGGACCAAGGGCGCTGTAGAGGATCTTCGCTAGCTTTACCTAAAGTAAAGGGAGACGATGATATAAAAGAGGATTCGCCTAATAAAGAAAACATTAAACCATCACGAGTTGATAAATTACCAGAAATTAACCACGCTACCAGTCCAAAGGTAAAGATTGCAGAGTCACGAAGATTCAGCGTTGAGGTCAAAATGAAAAATGATACAAAAGAGGAAGTTAGACGAAGTCCGAAGAGTACTAAATTTGTAAAAAGATTGACTAATGGGGATAAAGTAAGAAGAGTTGTACTAGATGACACCTATGACACCGGAAAGGTTATTGTAGTAGAGAAGAAGCCAACGCCGGAGAATGCCATTTTGCACGTCACAGGAGGTGTAGAGTTGGTCCCACTTCTAGCTAGGCGAAGACGCGTTGGTGCTCGTACTCTGCCATCTAGTGATGTCACTAGACCACCGGACCAGTCATGTCAGTACGTATTAATATTTCTTTTGAATGTATGATCATGAATATTAAGTTGCTAAGCTGTTTGACACAGGAGTTACTTATTTCTACAAGGTTTTACAAAGGTTGAACAAGTTAAAGCGCTACTTACTAATTAAATTTTAGACTACTAAACGAATATTTGACGGGCCTGTTGGTCCAGTGGTTAGTGACCCTGAGTGATAAGCAGGAAGTCGTGTATTCGATTCCCAACTAAGACAAATATTGTGTAATAAGCACGATCATTTGTTCTGTATCTGGGTATAATTTATCTATAATATGTGTGTATTTAGTATCATATATCAATATGTTTATCAGCAGGCTGGTTACCATAGTACAGGCTATGTTACGAGTAGTTTGGGATCAGACTGACGTGTGTGAAAGAACAATGGCAGAAACATATTTACCTAAAACTTAAGCGTTTAAAAAATCGAGTCACAGTAAACTTAATCAAATTTTTTTCTATGATTTATCATTACACCACCATGTGTTGTATAAGTCTTATAAGAGATAAGATATTTTTAAAGATTTTATTTGACCTAAGTACTTAATGTCAGATTCGCCATCACGTATAACTAACTAGGGATGCGTGGTGGCAATATTATATTATGGAACAATTTATCGATTATTGATTCTTATAGCTTTGGCTGAAATATTTACCGAAGGTTCACTATTATGATTATGAATTTGCTTCTGCCCACGTCTTCACTCGTACGGTAGAGTGACTGAATCAACATAATTAGAAATGATTTAAAATATTTTTGACTCTCTTTAAACGACTTTAAACACACTAAAGAAATAGAATATAGTTACGTTATTTTCCACTACACAGTGTGATGAGAAAAATACATTCTCATTGATAACGGCACATATATAGACATACATCGATATTTTCAAAATGTCGATACGTCGTCGTTTAGTACATATCTCTTAATCTGTGGTTTAGATCCTGTCAAGTTCCGGACTCACCACGTTTGTTATTTTATTTTTGTTTAATTTAGTGTTAAACTCGAATAGATGTTATGCTTTTATTTTTATTTTATTTCATATACTGTAATAATAATGAAAATAATATTTTCGGCTATCTGACACACAACGCCATCTAGTTTCAAACAAAACATTAACAATATGTTAGTACTTAACCTCGAAACATTCAAAATCCAATATCTTTTTTCCTAGACTTCTTTCGCAAGTAATTTTGATATGAGAATGGTCAAGAATAAATTCTCAAGTGTTAAGGATTTTTTGATATTTAAACGCTAACATTTCAGTTCAAATAAAATTATGTATGGGGACCTGCCATTGTCCTTTGTGGAGTTATTATTATGATTAAAATAGAGATGTTTTGGGAAGATGCCTACTATGAGTACAAACCGTTTCTATAGAAGATGTAACATGACTTGAGGATGTACGTTTCTAGTGAAAGATGTTGTAGACGTATAAGTATGACATTAATGCAAAAAGTTGAACTATAAACCGTCTCAAAGGTTACTTAAAAATTGTTACACAACACTCATTAATATTATGATCTCACTCTAATTAATTGTATTATTATTGATTAGGCCATGTAGTCCATTATACTTCCGCTTGCCGCGATCTTTGACTTAGTATAGTGAATATCACTATTAAATATTTACACTTTTAGACGTTTTACATAGTTACAGGAGAATATGCTTGTTTAATCCTTTATAAGAATACTGAAGCATGTTTTTCAATATCGGCAAGTAGCGACTGCCTCGGTGGTGCAGTGGTAGCGTATGCGACTGCTGTGCTGAGGTCTCCGGTTCGATTCCAGGTCGGACCAAATCTTTGTATGATATGCAAATATTTGTTTCGGAATTTGGGTGCTTTCTATGTATAATAAGGATGTATTTACAAAAAAATAAGTATATACGTATTAATATCAGTCAATCTAGCTTTCATAGTTTTACAAAGGCTGCTTAGTTTGAAACTAGATGGCGTTGTGTTTCAGATGTCCAAGAATATTTGAATATTATTTACTATAGTTTTTACATTTAATCCAGAACTAGCTGTTTCCCGCAGCCTCTCTCGCGTGATAATTTCTTATTTTGTGTCTTTCACTTTTAAAATGAAGAACTTCCATACAACCGTTTATCCCTTATTTTACTCCTTTAGGGATGAAATTTCCAAATATCCTTTCTTACGTAATTTTATACTTAAGTTATTATAAATGTATAGAAAAACAAAACGTTTTCGAATTAGAATGGAAAATAAAAAGAAAGAATATAAGAATATGCATCTGGTATCTCAAATTCTAACGGTGGGTAATGTTTTATCAGCAATCCGGTATGGTTAGGTATATTTGATTGCGTCACGGCTTTCTAGCGGTCGGCAGCAATACGACACGACCCAGAATGAATGCTTTTCATTAGAACGACGACGCGCGCCCATGACTAGCACTTGTCGATAAAGATCATTGACAGATGGCAATGGCAATCGAACAGTGTGTAATTCTGATAAATGGTGATTTGGTCACTCTTGCCTTTAAATCGCGGCCTTCTAATATATGTCCATTAGAACATTAACATATGACATCTTTTCTTTTAGACATTGTGCAAGTAGATTAAAAAAACCAAGGGTACCCTGAGCGAAAATTTGCCCAATAATGACCAATATCTTTGTTATTTTTGGGCCAACGGTTGGTTGGAGTGTAAAGGATTGACGCAAGTCGTCAATATATCGCTTTAGTCAGTTTGTAATCTAATATCCACAGTTTATAGCACTAGCAGCACAGCTGAGCACTGATTTACAAGGTTAATATCTAAATTTTACTTTCCTTATGTTATGATTTAGATGGAATTTTAAATTTGTACAGATGGCGGGAGATGCTCAACATGGATTACTTGAGAGAATTAAAACAACAAATGCAAGTGAAATGTATTCAAAATGAGGTAAGACGTTTATTTACACATTTATTTTAAGATAGCAACCTTAAAAATAAAGTATACTTAACTTAATACTAAACTTAATTTTCAATCCTTTTTTTGTGCCAGGATTTACTTGCGCTTAGTAATAGTCACTACTGTTTTGTTATACCTTGTACCTTATAGATATACCAAACTATATTATAATAAAAATAAATACATAGGTACCTTCCTTACAAATTTTTGTTATTTTTTATTTACATAGCTTCATATTATTATGTGAAGTAACTACTGAATAAAGACCGTAGGTATACCATAGGTGGTATCCGAGGGGATTTCCGCAAGGAAAAAAAAGGGATACCACCCGTAAAACTGTATACTAATCATTGACAGACAGGCTGCCATACCAAATACATGTACCTATGTATTTGAATCCAGAAATACCTGATTGTGCATTGGTTGTAGTATTATTATTTCAATCCTTCTACGATATCATAGGTAATCTAAAAAATTAGAGGTATAAATTCTTAAGAAAAAGCGAAATGAAACATTTTGGGTATTTCATTAATTAATGTTTTAATAATTACAGCTTTATGTAATACTAGCTTTTTCCCGCGGCTCCACCCGCGTAAATAGCGGTTATCGCGGTAAAAAGTAGCCTATGTATTTCCTCAAGAATCAAAGTATCTCCATTCCAATTTTCATCTAAATCGGTTTTAGGGTTATTGATTTCCAATACAAACTTCCACCCCCTCCCCTTTTCACCCCCTTAAAGGATGTTTTCTGGGATAAAAACTATCTGTTGTCCTTTGGCGAAACACGGACTATCTCTATACCACATTTCAAGCGTGAAGAGGTAACAGACTGACATATAGATAATCTATTTACCATCCGTTTACTTGATTATCTCTATCTCAATGTATCTATTTAGTTCGTTTCAAACTTCTTTGATTATATTTGACATTGGCATTTAGCTATCATTTTTTTTAATATTAATCCAGTACGACAAACAAAAATTGTGCAATTTAAATATACATAAATTTTAATCTACCTCATGTGTTTATATTCTACCATGGGGAGCAATACTTGGACGAATATGATCCGGTTCAAGCGCAGTTACACGGTCTTACAGAAGTTTTAAGCAATTCTTTGGTATTTTTTTCCTGAGTGAGCGAGATTACAGTAGGTCCAACCAACCCCTAGCTCTGAGAGGGGGACATTTACAGCAGGGAAACGTACTTGTATCTATTGAGGTACATATGTCTTTGGGCGGCGGTAGTCGCTTACAATCAGGTGACCCGTTTGCTCGTTTGCTCTCTATCCATACAATATTCTAATATAAAATGAAATATGTTTATAGGTTAAGTTAGTAGTAGTTAGTGCTTACTTGGTGCTGACATTGTTTAGACTATTTCAACATTTTTTTTTATGTTCGTAATTCAATGATAATTGTTGTAATGTTAATTTTGTTGCCTTAACAATTTAAAATGTATTATTCTATTTGCAGGCCAAACGTCTAGATTCTGCGGAGAGTGTGAAACGTCATCATGAAACCTGGGAGTCTTTGTGGGGGAGGCAGGGGCATGGTGCTCCGCTGCGCGGCAAGTACGCAAGGAACAATCTCGCTCAACTACTCTACGTAGCGCCGCTGACCAATGCTCAATAGATATAATTTATATATATACTAGGTACCTAGTAGTAGTTATAATCAATCATCTAATTTTAGACATACATTTTAATTTCTGACTTTGTTACCTGAATTATTAATATTTTTAGTATATTTTAAAATTTAAGCAACAGGCACAATGTGTTTTTTCAATTAGCTTTTATATTTTCGTCAATGACGAAAAAAGTTCAAACCACTAACTCATTGGATACTTTATCCAATACAAAAAATTAAATTCCGACTGGTACTTTTAGACAGTAGGACATTTAAACAAAAAAATGATAAAAAAACTGCTTTATTTATTAAAAAAAAAGTTAAATGGGTATAGTGTAGTGCAGACTCGAAAAGTACAATACTATTTTTAATAATTACAATACTTAACTGCAAGCATAATGTTCTTACTTTTTAAGCAGACGTTTATTATAAGGAACCTACCGGTAGGATTGAATATAAATATTTCATACACATGTGTGCATAATGGATACAGCAAGTAAGCAAATTAGTTAAACGAAAAGTTCTTAAATTTAGAAGAACCTTATCATAGCTATTCTTAACTTCTTCATTAATAATCTTCTTCACAACGATTTCCTTGTATTTAACACATTATATTAAATCCTCTAGAATTATCTTAAAGCTTATATGTACATATACATTACGAATACCTTTTGTCAAAAAACTTATTATGAGGAATAGACAGCGTACCTCTGTCGTTTGTCAACCTATAACCTTTACATAACAGATCCTGCCAATCCATCATACAAGAATTCATGTCTTGATAAGTTCAGACACGTTAAATTTATTGTAAGACGATCACTGCTGATGCGGCTGCTGATCACTGATGATTAATCAGAAATAATATATTTCGATTGCTGTTTGCCAGTGTTACTGTCGTTCGGTAATGTAAAGTTGCTTTGTCTGAGGACTGAACAAGGTATTTCATAACCTTTACAGAGAAAAGTAAAATCATTGCTTTAGTAGAAATTCTTTACATGGGTGTGTAAGAGTTCATAATGTTGAGGTTCATTTTCTTACTTTGTTATAAGAAATTTAGACTAACCTAAACCTCTATGTAACTAACTGCATTTGAACATTATAATGTAAATGCATCTATAAATGTTAAAAATATTCAAATAAAAGCATTAAACTTACTGATCACAAATAATATTTTTTTAAGCATCAGTTTTTTATTTTTGTGATTCCTTACATTATCGGCGAATTTTCTTCTTCTTCTTCTTCAGAGTAACTATCTGAGTTTTAATATTCACAAGGTTTAAAATACATAGATGTATCAAGCAATGGCTGATGCTGATGAATTATGGACAAAGATGATCTCAGTCATAGTTCTAGTTTGTTAGATATTTCTAAACAAGGGGAGGTCTGTACATGAGTGTGTATAATTAATGGATTTAAACTTTTCAAACCGGTATCATAGTGTGTTTAAGTTAACACTAAAATATGTATATTACAAACATCTATAAAAACAAATGATGGAATCTACTATCTTGACTACATTAACTGTCCACAGTAAGCCAGATGACCGTTATATTACATCTTGGATTGAGACATTCAGTGTTTTATCAGATTTTTTCTGATAGGCTAAGGTAATTTTGTTCGACATTAACGTCGGCTTTCTCTAATACACATATATATTTATTAGATTTAACTGTTTATTAAACATTTCATTTAAAGTTTTCTCCGAGCATTTTTTCCAAACTAGGATGGGGTCGGCTTTAAGTCTATTACGATACGGCTGAATTTCGATTTTTTACGTGGATCAATGCCATTAGACCTCCACAACCAAATTAGACGATATGAAAGTTCTACAGGACTTGTGTCTGATGACAGGAGCCCTAAAATTGAATATAAAAGACTGTTGTCGGAATTTTAGGGCTCCGACTACCAGTAACAATTGCCACAGATGTTCGTATGGCAACCGGGCTGATGACTTAACGTGCTCTCCGAGGCTTTAGTTTGATGTAAAGTAAGTATTGTAATTTAAAATGTCTTAAAATTTATTAGGTATTACATTGAAATGAGTTTACGATAGAGTAACATAATAATTAGTTGGATTTATTAAATAAAGTAAGTGTGTGTGACAGTGTGATTTCATTTCTTTTCTTTCTATTCTGTATTATCAATATACTTGCTATCTATACCGTTCCTCGTACTTATATTTAATAGTCTTAGTCTTTTTTAAAAGACAGCGCCCGCATTAGGAATATATCCTGTCACGGGGGACTTTACAAACATACATGAAACGGACACAAAGAACACCCAGACTCAGAACAATAATTTGTGGATCACACAAAGTGTCATCCGGTGTGGGTTCGAACCCACTACACTCAGCTTAGTAATAAGCGGCGTGGCGACGGCTTAAACCAATACGCCATCCGTCAATAAAAGTAGATTGTCATTGTTAACCTTACACCTAACTAATCCCTACTAATATTATAAATGCAAAAGTAACTCTGTGTGTTACGCTTTCATGACTAAACCGCTGAACCGATTTGTACTTTGATACTTGGGGAAGGAAAGCAAGTAGTCATATAAAATATTTATTTCTAACCATTAATATTAAACATTTATGAAGAAATTTGTGAAATCACCTGCAATCACGAAATATAACAATTTAGTTGTACATCTGCGGATATATATGCAGAAAACCGGTGTTAAGCAATTTTTTCGTTGCTTTTTACCGAGTGACTCCTGAGGATACCGGAGGCCCAACCGAAGGGGTTTCGCTCCTTCATTCTGGGAGGAGGGAGGACTCAAAGAGTAAAAAAAACTGTTTCTAAGTCGCAGCTGTCCATGAGCGGAGGTAGTAACTTACCTACAAATGCCACGTCTACTAGTTTACCCCGTATAACATAAAAAAAATGACGAAATGAGCTTTGATTAATTTCCCTTCCATAAACAATCGGTGTATTCCATGTATTCCATAAACAAGTAATAACTGTTAACTTGAGCATTAACTTAAGCACGTAAATTTCTTCAATCGTTAAGTTACTAAGACCGTTACCATAATTAACTGTCAACATCCCACACGAAATTACATAAAATATACTTAACGGCTTCACCAAAAGACCAAAGGCTATTAAACTATCAAAGCACTTAATTTCATTTAAAAACTCCAGGGCGTATCATGCCTCACAGTGATTATACCATTTATATTATTATTTAAAGAAAGGTCAGTACACCCGGTGGCGAAATGATCATTAGGTCAAAAATTGTTACATTAGGGTGATATACATAGCATGTAACAGATTAAGTAACAGTTGAGTTACATTATTGAGAGTAAATGAGACGAGAAAACTAATTAACATTATTGTTTTGTCAGACCTCCGTACATCTAGTAGCACGCGTAACCGGGGCTAGAAAAATGCGGTACTACGTACTACTAGGACCATGTTGTAAAACTCGATGAAAAGGTATATATGGCCATCCCATAAGCGATGAGATAGCCATGTATAACTTTTTATTTATAACATTTTCTTCTCATCTCTTCATACCAGTAGGGTAGTAAGCGAAATAAGTATGCATTATGGTAGATTATTTACGTATAAGTATAGTAAGTACTATTTGTAGACATGTCTATCCAATAAATAGAAGTTGGACACCAATTACTGCGTATTGCTAACACTGCTGTTTTTTAATCTAAATTTTAAGATTAAAGATAATACTCTGAAATCAATTATCACTGCAGTGAACATCGAAACATACACCTGATTAACACTTCCTGGGTATGGGTGTTAATCTGTTTACTTAGCGCACGGAAACTTCCAGCAAAACTGAAACTCATGTTGTGGCAGCTCAGTAAATATTTTTTGATGACATCCGTTGCTAAGTTTTTTGAGAACAAAGTTAATTCACACGCGACTCATAATTAGTAGAGATTAGGTATATTTTGAGCCAATTTGCATAATTGTATATTTAGACCTTTGAAACAAAATATTACTGAGTGTATGGCTATGCGCCTGACAGTATTAAGTGTAAAAATGCTTAGGAAACTCAAATTTTACAAAACGTATAGACGTTTTGTAAATTTGCTCAGCAGTGCAGCAGTAAAATTTAACTCCTCGCTTTACGACGAGTTAAATTTTACTGCATGACACATTAGTCTAGTCAGTTACGGGCATTGGTTAGTAAAATACTAAGATATAAGGGTCAGAAATAGAACTTAAAAAGTCTTTAGTACCTACCAATTCCTTAATTTCAATACTTTATCAAGAAGAAGAAACGTAAAATAAAACACTTACAAGTAATTTATAAGCTTCTAATCATGTGAAATCCACACTTTAAAACACACTACTATATTGGCGTAAACATGCCTAAAATATAATTTAACTTTTAATTTCTTTAAAGCGCCCTATCAGGTGTCTCTCTAAGACTAGTACAAAGACAATAACAGCTATGAGGTATGCATCAACTAGTTTTGACAACGCGGAATAAAGAGTCATATCTTGATGATGAACTTAAGTTTTCGATTTTCACAGCTCTTTTCACAAATTGTTTGATTTAATCTATCAACTCGTGAATAAAATACGTGACTGATCACGTAGGATATATAAAGTAAACAAGTACAAATTATCTTCATGACATAGATTTTATTCTCAAGTCGTCCTTGAACTGAGAGATTATAGTTCATTTAGATCTAAGCAAGCTACGGTATAAATATTACACAATGCATTTGGCCACCCATAGAGCAGAGGTTGCGCAATACCAGCGTGAAGACGAATCGATTGTCTTCTAATGAACTTTCCACGAGGAACAGGTTCACCGAGTATTTCCTGGCATCTGTGTCGATTTTTGAAGAAGCCATTATTTATTGTAATCTGACTAAACTTAAAGTTTATATTTATTCATGCACTATGATTGTTTTTGTTTAAGTTTTACATACTTTTAAAGTTAATAAGTGTCCGAAAAAACGGAGAACTTGACAGAAAGTACCGTTGTATTAAAGAAATTGTATCGTAGAACATTTTCGCGTGTGCGTTTTAGTT